TCAAAGTTAAGTTTATTCAAGGGTTTTCATTCATTGGTTTTTCGTGATTTGTGCTATATTATCCCTTGTTTTGCATTAAGTTTCTTTAGTAGTTTCCCTTTCCCAAATGTTGTCTATGATGTTATAATTTTTAATTGTTTTTGTACTTTGACATTGTATAGAATCACCCCACCCCGTAACCTGCATCTCTAGTTTGTATTGTTGTATGTCGGACAAATACTTTAGCGTCGCGACCTCAGTAGTAGAACCAGTTCCAGTACCGTGTACCAGTAGTTGACTCACTACCCCCGTTCTGCCTGAGTACGTCTGTATTATATTGTGTGAACAGAGTTTTTTCAAAGACCCCCTCACTATGGGTACTGTGGGGGGGAAAAGGTTATAGAGGTGGGGAAGGGAGGATCGGCTGTGGGCCCTTCCACATACTTCAGTTACTTTTAACGTATTTCCAGCCTATGTGGTATTTTTACCCAATCCCGTGTTCAAACCCCCACATGATATATTTTTATATATATTTATTTATATATTATATTTATTATTTTTAATATATATATATATAATTTTTTATATATTATATTATATATAAATATAATATGTTATATATTATATTTTTATATATAATATAAATATTTTTTTAAAATATATATAATTTTTAATTGAAGATATGGTATTGTTTCGAAATAAACTTGTGTATAATTTAGAGATGCTTCAAACTGCAAATTCTCATCAGGCACTGTATTCCCCTTTTCCCATACTCAGTCCAGCTAAAAAGATTTTGAATCTTTCTTGAGAGGTACCTTATCACCCCCCAAACAGAACGTAATAAAAAAAAAACTTGCCTTCCTCCTAGCCCCCAACCTGATTTTGGGGATGCCCAAGCCCCCCCCTAAAAAATTCATTTACTCCCCCCTCCACCCTTCCTTGGGCGACCCTAATCGTCTTAACTCCCCTCCGTTTTTTTCACCCTCCCAATTTTCTCCATCCTCTCAAAATGTCTAAAAAACTGAACATCCATCTTCGCCCTCTGATTTAAAACTATTTGGGAGCCCCACACCTTCTCCCAAAACTTTAAAAGAGGAAATTTTTTTTAATATTTACTCTTCCTTGCCTTAGATACATCATCATGCCTCAACCTCTTTTCCCTAAAAAGTTTCAAACTTTTCTTCCCACCCATATAAAGTGTGAAAATGTTTTTTTTAAAGGGAGAATCACTCGAAACAGGATCCCCAGGGGCAAGCACGACAAAAAGGGTCTCAGCTACCGGAGGGTGTACCTCGACCATGAAGAAAAGCGAAAGGGAAAAACGGAAACTGAAAAAGAAGGTACGAAAATCAAGGAGGAAAAAGAGGCAAAGCGATGATGGGAAGGGGCTTTGTCAGGGGAAGGCAAATACATCCTCCCCCCCTAACTTTTTAAAGGTTCAAAATGTAACCTAAAGAACCAATTAAACCATAACCCACAATCAACCTACTGCCCCCCCCCCCTTCACATAAAATCCACCTTTACAGTAACCCGTTAGACGTATTTCTTCTTTATAAAGTTGTCCGAGTGGAATGTCTGGGAAATGAGTAGTGGAAAGCGGGAAAAACCATGATAGAAGGTATGATAAAGTATGGGGGGGGGGAAAGAGGGGACCAAAGTAGGGGTCAGTGAAGGGCGAGGCCCAGGAACGTAACAAGTAAGAAAGAAGGAACCACGAAGCCCTATGACCAATGCAGAGCAGCTCCATGTCCCCCCCGGATTAGAAATAAACCCCACCCCATTGGTCATCTCCATCAAGGATGGAGCACTGCACAGACCCAGGCAAAAGCTACAGGTCCAATCACCCCCACCCCCCCCCATCATGTTTTTATCAAACCCTTTTTTTAAAGCTACTAACGTTTTGTCTGAAAAACTGTATCGGGGTTTTTTCCTTTTCCCCAACCTTTTTACCAAACCGTGTTTCCATATCCTTTCTGAAATTTTAATTTTTCCAACTGAAAACCCTTGCTGCGATGCTGTCTAGGTGGAAATTTTCAGCGCGCTTTTATCCCTTTATTTTTCCTGTTTTCCATTTATACCCTCGTTTTCCCCCCCCAATTCTACGCCTTTTCTAGAGGTGCGTTAGGGCCCCTCAGTCTATCAATGGGAAGATTTCTGTAATGGGGTTTTTTGTCATCCCCCTCTGTACGTTTTTCCCGAGCATTTATATCCATTCTGTAATACGGTGACCCGAATGGTAGATAGTCTAAAAGAAGCCTAACCAAAGGGTAAATTTGAGTTTTAAGAACAACTGAGGATTCTATTTTTTATATTTAGTATGAAGCCCAAAAATTTTGTTGCTTTATTGGAAAAATAAAAGCCCTTTGTCTTGGTTTTTTGATTACGCAACCAAAAATCCTAAATCCTTTTACAAACAGTATATTAAAATCAATTATTTAGTTTTTTGTGGTTGGTTATTTACCCGTCCAACATTTAGAACTTTGCATTTGTCAAATTTTAAATGATCTGCCCCCTTCCGACCCTTGCACGTCTATTTAAAACATCCCTTTAGTGTTTGTGTCCCCATTTGAATGAATTTGGGAAAGGGCCTTTTTGATGCCAACAGAAAATTTTTGCTTATGTCGCTATTTATTCCCTCATCTATTCGTTTATTTAAATTGTGAACAACAAGGGGCCCAACACTGCCCCCTGAGGAACACCGCTTGGGGCCCGTGCCCCCTTTCCCGATTTCCCCCCATTTATGAAAATTCTCTGCTGCCCTTTTGTCAGCCATGCCCCCCCCCCCGGAAAAAAATTTCTCCTCCACCCGTGTCCCTTT